TGTGGTGCACACTGGTCAAATCTAGCACTAGGTAGCTCCTAAAAACCCTTAGATCAATTGGAGCAAACTTTATTCACATATGATTGCGGGTTGAAAGTGAATGGAGGGTCAAATATTGACAGGACGCTGGTTCCGGTATGACTGGACGCTGGCGCAGAGTCCAGTCAGTTTATTTGATCGAGGAGAAGTCGTCTGAATGCGACCGGACGCTGAGAGGTGAGTGACCGGACGCTGGGTGCTAGAGTCGGGTCAACTCCAGTAAGGTTCTAGAGAGAAAGAATCCAGATCGGACGCGTTCGATTAGTGCTGACCGGACGCTGGTCAGGTTTTGGCTACTGACCGGACGCTGAGCAACAAAGTAACCGAACGCTGGGTGCCAGAGTCCGGTCAACATCAGTAAGGTTCAAAAAGGCAGTTTTTGTGATCGGACGCGTCCGGTCAGTGTTGACCGGACGCTGGTCAGTGTCCGGTCACAACTCAAACTGTTGAGTGGCGGGTGAACTGACTGGAGCGTCCGATCACCCCGCAGAGGCACATAACGGTTCGTTTTGAATGAGGGGTTATAAATACTTCATCTATTCACTCAAGGGATAACTTTTGCTCATTCCAACAGCTGTGAAACACCCTTGAGAGTGCCAAGAAGAGCAATGTCCTAGTGAGGTGATTGAGATTTGAGAATCCAAGAGAGAGACCTCATTAGTGAAAGCAAGAGTAGCAAAGTGTGCATCCACGCTTCTCATTAGGCTTGTCATGGTCAAATGAGAGTTCGTGCTTGTTACTCTTGGTGATCGCCATCACCTAGACGGCTTGGTGGTGATTGGGAGCTTGGTGATCATCCGGCGGAGCTTGTGGATGACCCAACTCAAGTTGTGAGCGATTGTGGGTGATTCACCACGACGGAGTGTTAAAGAATCAACCCGTAGAGAGCACTTGATCCTTGCACAGGTGCTCCAACGAGGACTAGTGGGGAGTGTCGACTCTCCGATACCTCGGCAAAACATCGTCGCGTTCCTCCTCCTCTATTTACTTTAAGCATTTACATTTGAGCAATTCAATTCTTGTCTTTACATACTTAGAATTGCCATGCTAGAGTAGGATTAGAACTTAGGGTGCTAAACTTTTGTGCGATAGAATATTAGAAACACTTTCTAGGCACAAGGGGTGAAGTGGGCTAAGTGTAGAATTTAATTATTGTAAAGAATTTTAGAATTAGCCCAATTCACCCGCCCTATTAGGCATCTTGCTCCTTTCAGACCCCTACCGAGCCTAACGGGGTCGGGGGCTCGGGCCGCCCGACCCCAACTCGGGAATCTAACCGACCGCGTAGGTCGTAGGCGGGACGAACACGGGCGAACACCCCGACTGGTAGGAACACAGGAGTCTGCGGTCCCAGGAAAGAGTACTAAGGTGCGCAGCCTCCGACCGACTCACCAGTCGGCCGCGGGCACAGGGGCTACACCCAACTGGTGCGCTCGCGCGCACCTGGCAGAAGATGGACTACCGACGAGTTCCCCCCTTTGGGGGCTAGGCGCCTATGTCTACTCGGCGCGCCTCTGCGGCCTTCGACAGTCCTCTCATCAGGGCCTGGGAGCCATTATCCTCCCGGCGCGCCTCCGCGGGCTTCGCTAGTCCTCCCCGTGGAAGCTGGGCGCCTAAATCCTACTTGGTTACCCTACGCGATACAACAAACCAAGGGGAAGACACCGAAGTCCCATTAAACAGTTCGCCTCGACGGCGCAATGGGCACATGAACTACAAAGCAAATAAAAGCTTTCATTAAGCTAAAAACACAAGCCCTAGGTTTTTATAATAACACGCAAAGCGTGAGTGAACAGCCCTGGGACTGCTCCGCACTTTGGGGCACGAAGCGGAACAAGGGAGCCAAGATCCTTGTTCTCCCACTATAATGCTCTCCTCCCTCTCTCCGTCCTTTGATCCAGAATTCGGGATAGGACCCGTTCGAGACGTACAATGTTCTCTCCTCACGAGAGATCTTCTAGCATCGTACTCGTGCGCCCTCAAAAGCGGCAACTCAATAGCCCCTTCACGGCTTCATAGAAGCCCAAAAGGGGCTCGGGGGTTCATGTCGGGTTTATAAACCCGGGGTCCCCAATGGACCCGCTTTCTGCAATACTTGGCCCAGCAAGCAGCGCAATGACAGCGCACGTCTGGCCGCCCAGATACACAATGACAGGCCGAGACCACGATCCGGTCCTCGACCAGCACCTTCGATCAGGAAACCTGGTCGGAGCCCCAACCGAAGGCCTGACCGTGGTGGGACCGCAGTCCGACTCCGACCCCGTTCCTCCGACCGAGGATATGCCGGACCTTTGCTCGTCTCTCTTTCCCGACCGTCATGGTCGAGGCCGACTAGGAACGACCAACCAGGACGCCTGCTCGGTGTGGGTCCAGGGAGCAGGCGGAGCAGATAAGATACGACGCTCAAGTCAACCGCAATACCGAAGATCATACCCTGTCATGCCCGCACCTGTAGGACGGTGCCGTCAGGCCATGTCAGACGGACACTTACAACCTACCAGACGTGTCAGAGCGCAAACAGTATTATGGGCGCTGTCGTTTGCCGTCCCAGCGAACATTGTGCAACCTGCCGGTCATGAACAATAAGGTGGGCGAACACTGTGCAGCCTGCCAGATATAGCAGGTCATGAACAGTAAGGTGGTGATGACGTGTCATACCCGACGGCATGGATAACAAGACTAGATAGCACCCGTACACACTCTCTCCCTTTCCGTCTTTGACTTGTAAGGCCATATAAAAGGGGATGCATTCTCTCCTAAAAGGACCCGGCTCAACGGCTCTAGAACTCGACAGCTACACAGTCTAGACGCTCTCAATAGCTGAAAAGCTTGGACACATAGAGCATATGCTTCAATACTTAGCGCACGTTTGAGCATCCGTCACTCTTTTCCACTCGGATCAGAGTCCGATCGGGCCTCTCACATCCCTTCTCATTCCTTACTCGTTTGTAACCCCACAGCAAACTTTGAGGCACTGAGCTCAAGAATAAAGTCACCGACCGACTGAAACTGGATGTAGAGCACGTTGCCTGAACCAGTATAAATCCTGTGTCATCGCGTGCTAGGCCACATCCGATCACAGCGCACGGTAAAACTATAAATATTTAGACCCCATTCGGCTTGCTGAAACTTAGCTGAATTGGCTGAAAAACACTGTTCTAACTGAATTGCTGTGAGAAAAAAACATAGTTCTAACTAAAAAAATAAATTAAATAGTGCGGATTATAAGCTTAAGCCGAACAGGGCCAACTCGTCTGCCAAATTTCGCGCCGAGACTACTACTAGCAAGTACTATACCATTTGTATGTATTCCGTCCACCACTGTTTTGATTTGTTCCATATTATTTATTATTCCTATGTCTGGCTGCGCAAGAAAGAATAGAAAGACGCACACCGCCACACCCCCAGCAGCCGCTAGTTTCAGTTTGGCAACGCTAGAGAGGCTACTATACGCTTCGCCCTCGCCGTGTGTTGTCGTCTCGTCTGTTCGTGTCCAGTGAGTGGCATTTATTTATTTATTTATATTATGCCCCGACCATTCTTGGTATCCATCAACGGTCAACCTCTACTACTGTTTCCTAACCACTCCACGTCCCATTCTTGCAGAGCAGAACACGCGAGAACAGAGGACGTGGCCCTGCCGAACCGCCGTAGTAGGAGTATCTGTCTACCGACTACCGGTACGGACATGACCGCTGCCGAACGCGCAGTAATCCGCGCCGGCGTAAACCCCGGCGAACCACTCCGCCGGCAGCAAACGGAGTAGAGTGCCTGACAGCAGCCGCTGATGCTGCCTGCTGACAGCACGCACCCTAGCTGTTGCAGCAGACGTGCCGGCTTCCCGCGCGTTCGGCTGGGCTGGCCAGAGCTCTCAGAGAACACTGTTCACATGAACAGGACGCGTTCGGCTGACTGAACACTGTTCATATGCAGCCGCTGATGTTTTTCTTGCACTGCCGACAGCAGATTTTAGCTTATTTGCAGCAGACGTGCCGCGTACCCTTCCTCCCCTCCCCTCGTCCGTCTCACTGGACTCCTAATGTGCCTGCCGATGAGCACCATCCACGACCACCACCGTTGCTATCGCCGGCGGATCCAAATAGATGATGATGGCAACGACGGCTTGGATGAAGATGAGAGCGCAACAAGAACAACACAGGAGTGGTAGCTAGAGCTTTCCCTGCATGCGGTGCTCTTGGCTGTGGCTATGGATACATATAGCATACAACATGAGAGCCGAGGAAGCTCAAGTTCAAATTGTTTCGCCATAAAATTACAACAACAACAATAACAATAGCCTTTTCAGTCAAACAAGTTAGATAGGCCAAAAGTAAAATAAATCATGGCAAACAAAGCCTATTTGTTTAGATGTGGTTTTATCGTAAACAATCGTAAATTTCTAGTCAAAATAATATTTTTCTCTCACACAAACCAACTAGTAATACTTCTTTTGAAAACCAAAAATGAAGCGAACTAAAACAAACCAGCAGCTGAAAGCTCAGTCAACTGGTTTATAGACAGACAGACGATGAAACAACCCCATATCAGAGTAGAAATGAAAAATATCTCAGTGTGAAAGAAAAACTGGTTTATAAACAGAATAAGATTTTATGACGATGACCAACCGGCAACCCCATAGCCAGCCAGTAGAACATGCCAAAGCTGTTGATGATGAGTTAGCCATAGCCATCTGATGAGTTCATGAGTAAAACTAAAATCATACAGAGGCCACTAGTTGACCTTCTCAGAAGCTAAAAATCAAGGTCGTCGTCGTCGTCGTCGTGATCTCTCACGTCACACACAGTAGAAAATTACTATCATCATCATATCATATCCTGGTACCCCCCAACAAAAGCAAGAAGAACCATGCCGTCAACTCGTCATGTACCTTACCACCATTAAATTAATCAACTGCAACAAGAGGAGGAGAAGAACAGAAGCACTCCATTTCCTTCCACTGATCAGGTTCCAGTCAGGCAGGCCGGCCGCAAAACCCACACCTGACTGAGCAGAGCAGGAGGACGCCTCGGCGCCGCGACCGCGTCACTGTCACGGGAGGTTGAGGAAGAGGCTGGCGGGGTCGGTGTCGGCGAACCCGGCGCTGGCCCAGCACGTGCCCAGGTCGAACGCCGCTGGCCACACGAACGAGTCGTCCTCCAGCACCGCCTTCCCGGCAGCGGAGGGGAAACCGGAGAGCCCGAGCCCGAGCGCGACGGCCTCCTCCGCCCCGGGCTGCAGCAGCAGGTGCGCCAGGGAGTCGGAGTCCTCCGCCGCCGCCGCCGGGGCAGGCGCAGCAGTCTCCGTGGTGATCTCGCTCGCGCGGTGGTGGTGGTCGTCTTGGCGGAGTCGGCGGCGGCGGCGGGCTCCGGGGTCGGCGCCACGACGCGGCGCTTCTTGCTGGCGGGCTTCTTCTTGGGCGGCTTGTTGTCGGCGGCGGCGGCGGCCGCGTAGGACGACGGCGACGGCGACGTCGACGAGGGCTTCTTGCGGGCGCCGCCTCCGACGGGGACGTTGCGCAGCGTGCCGCCCTTGGTCCAGTAGCGGCGGCAGCCCTTGCAGAAGTGGCGCGGCTGGGAGGTGTTGTAGTTGTTGTAGTAGCAGAACTTGGTGTCCCGCGACGCGCACCGAGGGCACGGGTCCCCCTCGCCGCCCTCGGCCACCTTGGCTACCGCCGGTGATGCCTCCACCGGCGCCGCGGCGTACCCCTTGGGCCGGCGGAGGTCGACGCCCGCGAACTGATGCTGCGCCGGCCGGCGGCCGGGCTCGGCCGCCGCAGATGACGCCTCCTGCATGCGCGACGGCGCCGTCGTGCCTGCCTGCGATGCGCGCGTACCCCTGGGTGGAGAGAGAGAGAGAGAGAGAGAGAGAGCACTGAGTTGAAAGGAGGGGACGGTTGCCGCCGGGGCAGGCTTTGCCTTCTCTCTTATGGTCGCGGTCGCCGTTACGGGGGATGGCGACGTGCTCACGTCATCCATCCGTTGCCAGGACGCGGGTGGGTCCCACGTAGCAGGCAGGGAGGGGCGGAAGCCCACGCCGCGTGACGTGAGGGGGGCGGCGCGCTGCTGCCTGCCTGCTGCGAATCGACGCGACCTCCCGTGGACCCGCCGCGTCAACGCTATTAGTGGCCAACCCAGCCAGCCCCGTACAGCAGCAGGCGGTCCATCGACGGCGACGGCGACGGGACCCCCGGCCGGCCGCCGTGCCGTACGCGCGCGCGGACTCTAGCGCGGTCGCCCGGCGACAGCGGCCGGGCGCCCGCCCCCGGCTGTGCCGTCTCCTGGCCCGCGTGTCGGTGACGGTGCGGCGGCGGGTGAGGGGGACTATGCGGCGTGTCGGCCACCGGCGGCTGGGTCGGGTGGTTCTGGGGCGCGCCACGTCAGGCTATGGGGGCTACAAAACATTGGTCTTGGTCGGTAGGGGGCTAGGGGCTGCTTAGGCTAGGCCAACCACCGGAGGGTCCCACTTGTGGAGACGCCTGCGTTGGCTGGTACCCCTCCTACCCCTAGTGCTACTGTGCTAGTGCGTGCCTCCTGCGCCGTGGGGCCCAGCCACCTGCTCCTGGCAACGGGCCGGCATATGCACGGCCGGGGACGGACAGGCTGCCTGCCTCCCTCATCCATCCGATCAGATCACGGGGCTCTACTAGCCACGAGGAATTCTAAGGAGTTGGCGCGCACTCGGCGACGGTGAGACTATCTTTAAGAATCCAAAATATCATGACACATTCAATGTTTGGTAAGTGTTATAGTCAAAGGCCTCGTTTAGATTGGGGTTTAGATTGGGGTTAGAAATCAATATTTAATACTGTAGCACTTTCGTTTGTATTTGATGATTATTATCTAATCATGGCCTAACTAGGCTCAAAAAATTTGTCTTGTAATTTATAATCAAACTATATAATTAGTTATTTTTTTTATCTACATTTAATACTCTATGCATGTGTTAAAAATTTAATATGATAGAGAAAGTGAAAAAACTTACGATCTAAACAAGGCCCACATACATCAATGCCAACACGGCACGCTGTCCCTCGAGCCTTCCTTCCGTGCTAGTGCGCCACACGGCAGACGCCACTCCGCTCGCGTAATTGCCTTGGCTGCAACACCATCCCATTCCTAGCAATTACAAAATGCAGCGAGAGTGTGTGTGTGACAGCGCGGCGGCAGTACCATCTTCAGAGAGAAAGAGACGGCTGCAGAGAACAGAAGGCAACTGGTAACAGCACAACATTTGATGTGTTTCACTTTGGCGCAGCTAGCAGCTGCACTGCACAGTGGCCGGCGAAAGAACCGAACCGAGCATCAGAACAACATGTATGTACGCTACGCTACGCTATGCTACAAGGCAGGTCTGTCTCTGTCACAGACTCGCAGTCTCACAGAGGGGAGTGGCAACTTCTCATTCTCATACACAAGAATGGAAACCTATGCTATGAACAAGAGCAGCTTCACAGTCCGCGACGGAAGCAGCAGCCTAGCACTAGACGCGATCGAATCAATATTCAATCAAAGAATGCAGCAGCAGAAGCGTAGTCCCCGTGTCATCGCCTGCCCGTCACGGGCGGCTTTAGCATACACGCAGCATCCATCGAGGCTCCCCTCTCGCTGTGGGGGGACAGCCAAAAAATTTTTTATCTTGGCGTCGGCGATGACCAGCCAGCCAGCGGCTGTTATCTCTCTGATCTGTGCCGCTTAGTTGCTCGCGAGTGTTCTCGAGCGCCATCCACTGACCTTATTAGCTGCTGCCCAACCTCTTGATCGTGAGACGCTTGGTTGATGTGATCCTGTAACGCGAAGGGTTGGGTATCTGTAAGAATTTTGCGAGTAAAAGCAGCACAGGCTACAACAATGTTTTGACAATGAAACCAAATATACTACCTTGGAGGTGGAGTTTGACCCAGGATTGCACCTCTTGATAGCACGCTTACCAAGATTGATCTGCACCGAGATGCTAGCTTGTGACAAATCTACTCCCGAGTTTTGCAGCGCAAGATTCAAGGTAGTAAGCAAGCTGTTATAAGGGGAGGGGCAAAATAGAATCAAGACGTTTCAGTGAGAAATTATACAGAGTTCAAGCGTTGCAAAAAAAAAAAGAGAGCAAGAAACAGATGTTTTTTTGATGTAAACTTTTGAAAAAAAAAAATATATATTTTTTGTTAGTATCCACTGATGGTACATACCCTTCGGAATATTGGCTTGACAAGCTGATTGTCCCCTCATCTATTGCCAACTCAGGGTTGTTCAGCATCCCATTGTGGCCTGCCAAGTCGTCTGAGGGTGATGAATTTGTCAACTGTGTTTGTGTTGCTTGCTGGGAGGCAACATTGTCTGCACAAGGATGAAAACATCTTCCGTGAACTACAGAAACAATTAAAAGCTCTAATAATGACGAGGAGTGCATAAAACTGTTGCAGATTGTAAAACGCTAACTGGGTCAAGAAAGGCATACTTGTAGGATTATTGTGAGTTTCAGCTTGTTTGTAAGGCGCACAACCCTTTGGTCCTACCTGTTCCTGCGCACCAGAGGCGGTTTCAAATGCACCTGCATTGTTAGGGTCCTCAGGCTTTGCAGCCAAAGGAAACCGTGGGGAGGAGCCATTTTTTATGACTTGTGATGGATCGGAGACCGTATCTCCGTTTACTTCGTCCTTGTTCTGCAGCACATGGATAAGATGCAGACAGGGGCTGGTTAAATCTCATCCTCAGCCCTCAGAAGCTTCCCTGTGCAGAAGGTAAAGTTGTGCTGAAAGCTTACCTGTGAATTTTTCCAGGAAGACCGGAAGTAGATGTTAGACCACGGCATGATCTTTGCATTTTCTTGGTTCCACTCTGGTTGTGAAGCCTCGTGCTTTTCTACTTTCTCTTGCAAAAACCGTATGTATTCAATGACCTGCATTAATGCAATTGTCGACGGATTAGTAAAATATTAGATGTAAAGCAATTGTTGACGGATTAGTAAAATATCAGATGGGAACAGATTATGCTGACGTAACTGCTGCAATGTCTTTGCCTGAAAAGAATAAAATGCTGTCGTGTCTTACCTCAAGTAGAAATGACGCTTTGTCTCGCTTTTGATCGTTTTGCGGCAAAATTTCTCTAAGTATCTGAAACCTGTTAGAGGATGACAGGAGTAGAAAAGTTAGGTCAAATGCATGTTTAGTGCTCTGAACAGTGCTTATTGCTTAGTGCCATACAATAATATCTTATCAGGAAATAAGTACAGAGGAAAAAACAGAACATTTCTAATCACAATACATATGGAGATAAAGATCCACTTGTGCTAGCACTCTTCAGGGTCAGTAGCACACGATTTCTGAACACCTCGTACCATGACGCCCATAAAACATATATCTCATATTCTCAATCCACAGGTGAGAAACAGGCCTCTGACCACATCTACTACACAATTTAATATTTACCCAATTATCATAGCTCTACAAAAACAGCAGAGCCACCATCATCAGCTCTGATCGTTTGGGCTGATTTAGCTTATAAGTCATGGCTGAAAGTATTGTTCTGGTTTAATGTGAGAGAAAAATATTGTTCGTTGGTTGATAAGTCATGGCTTATAAGCCAGATACGAGCAAGCAAACGGGCTGACATCACTGCATGTCTGCATCCCAGACGTACTTTTTCCTAGCCAAACCAAATAGCTACTGCAGCATACTCAGCTATTGGTTCAGTGTTTTCTCTTACGCCAAAACAGGATCGGCCGGCTTATCAGAAAGCTCAGGAAAAGCTTGACATCACAATATTAAACAGCGAAAATGTGCTTGGTAACATATACTAATATTTTTGTGCTATATATATATAAGAGATATCGGACATGCCAGCAGGCGACGAAACAAAGAAACAGTACGGGTACTACCAACTATTCCTATTTCTGAATGATGAACTAGGAAAGCTGCGTCAGCCCACCTGTCATTGATCTTGCTGCGCCTGCGCTGCTCCGTGGCGGAGTGCTTGGAGCGTGGCGTGTTGGGCAGCTGGTCCGTCCCGGCGCTGCCGCTGCAGCTCCCGCCCTTAGCTTCCGCCCTGAGTTCTGGAACGCGGAAAGAACAGAAATAAAGAGCACCAGAACCCCGTCAGAATCGCCTCTTTTCACCATCGAACCGCCCAAACAGCTCCAACAACACCAACAAGCGAACAGGCTGTTAGCATAATTGAGGTGCGCTACCTTTGAGCGAGGAGGAGACCTCGCGGCGGGCGGCGAGGCCGTCGTCGTCGTCGAATCCCGCGCCGCCGCTGGATCTGGAGCCGGCGTCCATGAAGCCGCCGCACGCCTTCCGCTCCGGCGGCCTCTGCTGCTGTGGCTGGGGCTGTTGCGGCCTGGCGGAGGCGACGGCGACGCAGCGCGCGGCGAAGGGGAGCGACCACGGGTGACCTGCCAAGTCGACAAACAGACAGAGCGGAAAGCACACGCCTTTAGCTACTCTTTATTTGCCACCTTTGTCTCTGGCGTTTGTTCCTCGAATGATCGGAGGTTTGCAATGCGTGGCATAGTCATTCGGCCTGTTGGGGCTCGTTAAAAGGTCGAGCTGGCTCGTTAAGCTTGTGAACCAGGGATAAAAAATATACAAAATATAATATTTACATTTATTCAAAGTTTGAGAATAATAATAATATAAAAGAAATGTATCTAGACTAGTTACCAGTTAATTTATAAGGTCTAGACCAGTTACCAGTTAATTGTAAAGTGCAAGACATGAAGTAATATAAAAACTAATATAAATTTTGATACTTTTTTCCTGAAAGCTTAGCTCATTTAGCTCGCGAGCTGACTCGAGTTAGCT